CCACCCCGCCCCGCCCCGCCACCCACTACTGCGGGCTTCCCTACGGCTAGACGGGGCCGCCCAGCTGCAGCCGGCGGGCGGGAACACTTGTCGCCTCTCCTCTTATTCCGGAGAATAAGGCGCACAAAATTCCGGGGAATAAGAAGAGAAGCGAGAAAGGGAGGGAGGTATGGCTATGGGGCTGTGCCGGCTGTGTCGGGGCCGTCCTCCGGCTGAGCCGTGGCGCTTGTGTTGCTCCAATCAGCCCGCTCATTGTGGGAGGTGAGTGACCTCCAGACAGGGCAGACTGCCTGTCACCACACGCTGCTACCGCTCGCCCCCCCCCCCCCCCCCCCCCTCCTTCTCGCTCCCGCAAAACATTATTGACAACGTTATTTAGGCAACAAAAAAGTTTTATCTATTTCTAAAATGATATATCATTTGAAAAAAATACTGTGTTACGCAATAAACTTCCTGATATTTTTAAGACAATTATGCAAACTTAGCGACAATAATAACATGGTACGGTAGTTTCCAATATTGTAATGCGAAACTCTTTTAGTGCTGTTCGAAGAACATATTGATCAGGATTTGTGATGTCCCGGCTTCCAACAGCGCCTCCATTTTTCAATTTAAAAAAGAAAATTGATTTCCTAAAAATTAAGTATTGCATTTACAGTACTTATATCGTACTATATTGCTCGTATCGGCAAATAAATAATTGGCTAACTGCTACTTGGCTGAACACCACCAGGTCGTTGTCCTCCCCATTCACCCTGCTCCTAGTGCTCATCTCTCATCTGTATCGGTCTCTCTCTCTCTCTCTCTCTCTCTCTCTCTCTCTCTCTCTCTCTCTCTCTCTCTCTCTCACACACACACACACACACACACACACACACACACACACACACACACACTACGGTGGACCATACTCATTACCTCAAGCGAAGCGATCTCCCTAAAAACGGAAAATGCAATCATCGTGTTGACCGCACTGCCGTGCGTATTGTAATTTTTAAACCAGTTTCCGTCCTTGTCTGTCGGCGGCTGATCTTTGCGGCAAAGCGAGAGAGGAAAAGAGAGGCCCGACTTCGGCTCCAACGAGGAGGCTGAGCTGGGTCAGTGCCCTGGCCTCGACTCTGCGACTCGGTGTAACGCGCACGGAGCTGTGTTGGCGGGAAAATTCAAAACTAAATCACTAAATGAAATTAGAACCGTGTGTCCGTGTGTCAAGTCCGGTAATTACACGGCAATCGTGTTGCGGGTTTGTCTCTTCAGGGGCCCAGGTGCCCTGCCCTGGTGCCTTACAGGTGGAGCGAGGAGTGGGCAAACTCGCAACACTACCGCGTATTTATTGGATAATATACCCTCACGCCCTCACGACTACCATAACAATTTCTGAGGCATCAGCACCTGTCCACCACGTCACCCCTATCGGAGAAGGGGTACCCAAACTCAACTCTGACTCATTTTGCCAACCATTGAACAAGCCGCAGGTAAATTGTCCGAGGACTCCATTGCAATCGTCTGCTTGTCAAATCCTAAAACGTGCTCTCTCTCTCTCTCTCTCTCTCTCTCTCCTACACACATGCACTCCCGCCTACCCCCTTCCCTGCCATGTAGGACACAATACAACTCGAACAGCTACTCCCAACAGCTGGGCGGAGGTTCGCTTATTAGTTGCGAAACCTCAAAGACCCCCAACCATCGGCGGCAATCGAATGTCAGACTGCATCAGAGAGACAGAGGGAGACGGAGAGAGACGGAGAGAGACGGAGGGCGGGAGTAGTTTACGAGACCAGTAAGGCACCCCGCGGGCGGCAGGCCGCAGACCAAATAGGATTTACCCCAATGGCGCAACCCGTTTGCTGCCCGACGGTGGGACAGGGTAGAAATGTTGGCTCCAAGACATATCGATCGAGGGGCGGCCAACTCGAAAAAGTCATATGTACACCCAATACACAAGGAAATACGAAAAAAAATGCAATAGAAATACTGGGTGGTCCACAGACCACTTTATTTTTCTTATACTGTACCGCAGGCAGGCGTGCGGGCGGGCTTGCCTACCGTTGTGCCTTACGGCCCCATTCGAGTGTGCAACCTAGCCCGCATGCTTGCATCCAGTAAGTATAAGAAGAATAAAGGAAAGGGAAACCTTGGGCCAATAGTGGCCTCGCGGTTAGTCAAGTCTGTGGACCATCAAGTACATTCAAATACACGTCAGACAATGAAAGGAAATCTCAAAGAAACCCAAGAGATATTATTACAGACATGATTGACTAGCAAGGTGGTTTCTGATTTTTCTGAAAATTAGCGAGAAGACGAGATAGAGTCATTTCTTTGGCATACTTATTTATTCAGCATATACCTACACCCCCGGCCGGAACCCTACTGGTAAAACGAGTGTTTAATTTTGCGCGTCAATTGATGAAGTTAAAGTGTGCATTTTTTAGACACGTTCTGGTGTCTAACTGGGTTATACGTCAATTGGTGTATAAACTTTCGACACTTCCGAAAAGTATAGCAGCTGCACACCATATGGTGCTCCTATTTATAGCCTAAAACTGTGTGTATTCAAGTGTGCGTGCAATTTGAGTTGAACACCATGTAATGTGCAAAATCACTACTTGCTCACGTTGGTGTGCAAATTTTGCACACTTGTTTTACCAGTGCCCCGCTAAAAAGGAGGGTTCTTAAATCGCAAGTGAATTTCCCTCGAACAAGGTACATATCGTTTTGGAACAAGTCTATTTCCTAGACCTTTACTAGGAAATTCCCTTGTTCCAAGGATATTTACTTGATTTAGGAACCTATCCTTTTTGGGTGTAGTTTATTGTCAGTGTACACGGCGTCACCAAGTTACAGATTTCACCACGGCAAACAATGGGGTAGCAGCTAACCACACCGCGGCTGCGGCCACGCGCCCCGTACCCGTAACACATAGGTGCTGTCTTCGGGCTATAGGGCGCCATGGGAAAAGATTACAGGCAACAAAAAAACACAGAAACAAATAAATCTAAATATAAGAAGAAATTAGATCTTAAATTTTGTATTATCGCAGTTTACGAATTAAAGCACGACATTCTTTCTCATGGAAAACCTTACAAAGTGTTTTCAGTATCCACACCACGCGGTTCGCCACACTCCACACTCCACCAACGGTATGCAGTACAGGGAACTCCCATGCGAGTGGGGAGGAACAGCTTCCCTGAGGATGTGTGTGGGGTCAGTACGACACGCGCGGCTCTCTCTGTCGGAGGAATGCACAACCTCGGCGCTGCGTACGGGGAAGCGTCCCCATCACCACTTACACCATGCGTGTTCGACGAGGAGGGTGACACTC